GAGAGAGAGAGAGAGAGAGAGAGAGAGAGTAAAAAACTTTATTCTATTTTTACATCGTTAATTAATCATTAAAAATGTGCGGCTAATTGTCACACGATTCCTCGATTACATCGATTAAGTTTCTATTGTTTTCTATTTCGCAAACTTTCAAACAGGGCTTGTATTTCAAAGGCAATTGACCAGGCGTATATAACTTTTCAATGGTTCAAGGTTGTTTGAATATCATAAGTGCAATGTAATATTGTGTACATTGTGTAAAATGATACTAAACATACATGCACATTTATTTATTACGATAAAATTAATTAATATTTAATTGACATAAAGAATAATATATCGCCGAGTATATTAAACATGATCATAAATAAAAATAAACAATATGCAAAATACTCAATAAATATTTTGCAAAATAATATAACTACATAGTTAATAAACTAACATTTTATCGATATATTAAATACTATACAATACAACCATAAGTATTAATCACGATCAAACTGAATCAGCACATTCATTTAAATTCACCAGCATTAATCCAAACACCCGCCGATGAACGGGTGGGGGCTATCCATACACATACGGGGGGACAATATGTGTCAAGTGTTTTGCGTTCAAACACTGCACAGCGGTTGCCATAACATCGGGCATAACGTACTTTACGAACAGCCCTTCAAAATAGTCTCAATAGTGATGTCAGAGTAGTGTTGAGACCAATAGAAAGCAGACAAGTGTTAAAACATGTCATCAAATGCTTTAAACACACATTCAATGTATTTTTGCCGGCGATTTGTGGCCACCGATAGTCACACAGAGAGTGTCCCTCTATAGTGAACCCCTTTATTATTAACAGTTGTGTACACTATTCACGTTGTTATATCATTATATTTATTTCGCACATTCATTAAGTGTTTTGTATTTATTGTTAAATAATTAATAAAAGTTTGTTAACAATAATAATAAGAGACAACAAAACAGAGACAACGAAATCAAAAACCATAAAAATGTTTTGGCGTTTATTACTATCGCTATTGTTATGCACTCTCACCGCACGTATCGGTAATTATCACCGCATTTGACCACTCATTTTGTCCATCAATTATAACTGAATGCTAAATACTCATTGCATCGACAGGTGTGGTGTCCGGAGTGGCCGTCATGTCTGTGGACTTGGGCTCGGAGTGGATGAAAGTGGCGATCGTTAGCCCAGGGGTGCCGATGGAGATCGTACTCAACACCGATTCCCAGCGCAAGACACCGATTGTGATCTCCTTTAGGGACGGCGAACGACTCGTGGGAGACTCGGCTCAGGCCGTGGCCACGAGGTTTCCCGACAAAGCGTTCGCCTACTTCTTGGATCTGTTGGCCAAACACCGCAACTCATCTGTGGTTCAGTTGTTTCACAAACGCTTTCCCTATCATCGCATCGAAGACACGCTCACCGGTAGGTCTCATCCCTTAAGACCAGTCTTTTAGGCCAATCAAAACATTAATCTAAAACTCATTTTGTATTTTTAATTCCCAATTAAGGCATAAGCCTATCGACAGCCGACGGCCTACTGTTCACACCGGAAGAGTTGATATCAATGATGCTGTCGAAGGCGAAAGTGTACGCCGAAGACTCGAGCAAACAGCCAATCAACGACTGCGTGATAACAGTTCCGCCGTATTTCACTCAAGCGGAACGCCGGGCGCTACTAATGGCCGCCGATTTGGCCAAACTTAAGGTCTTGCAGATCATCAACACTAACGCCGCGTTTGCCCTCAACTACGGCGTGTTTCGGCGCAAAGACTTCAACACAACCGTCACTAATATACTCTTCTACGACATGGGGGCGAGCAGTACGACCGCAACCATCGCCTCCTATCAGTTGGTCAAAACCAAAGAGCGCGGATTCGCCGAATCCAACCCTCAGGTCACCATTAAAGGTAGTGTTCGACACAATCTCTTAGCGTTATTTTCAATTGGATTTAATCGGTGTTTTGGTCGCACTCTTCAGGTGTCGGTTACGACCGAACGCTGGGCGGCCTCGAGATGCAGATCCGACTGCGCGACCATTTGGCCAAACTGTTCGCTGAACAGTCGAAGAAGCCGTTGAAAGAGATCACATCCAATCACAGGGCGATGGCTAAGCTGTTCAAAGAGGCCGCGCGTCTCAAGAAAGTGTTGTCCGCCAACACTGAACACAAGGCTCAGGTGGAGAACGTGATGAACGACATCGACCTGAAGGCGATGGTCACCCGCGAAGAGTTTGAAACGCTGTGCGCAGACCTGTTGACCGATCGGGTGACCAAACCTATCGACGACGCGTTCGCTTCGTCCGGCTATACGATCGCCGAAATTGATTCCGTGATTATAGTCGGCGGTAATACACGAGTGCCTAAAATACAGACAGTTTTGCAAAACTATTTCA